TGTTCCATCCCATTTAACCTGCACTACAAAACACAATTGCATGAAGCACATCTAGGCCTCTCAGCCACTCATACCTCTATAAAAATAATAACAAGCTAAAAACATATTTTGAATTAAATTGATCACATGTGTCAAGTGAACAATAACAAAAAATAGAAACTTTTTTTTTATATATTGTTGAGTAAATATCTCAAAAGATCACTCAAGTATGTGAAATTATTTAAGGAAGTCACTCAACTTAATTTTATATCAATAAAGTCACTCAACTTATGAAATTTCTTTTACAAAATCACTCAAGTTAAACTATTTTTTCTACAAAATTATTATAACCAAAAGATAAAAAGAGATAATTACACAAATTACCCTTCAAGTTTAATTTCATAATACTTTCTTCCCTTTTACTTAAGAATATTATGTTTACCTCATTTTTTTTAATTATAATTTTCTTAACTTAATTAATAACTCAACTGTCCAAGCATTAAGCATTAATGCACTTGGCTCAGGCTTCGTCTCTTCAAGTAAATTTTTAGCTGGTCTTATAGCAAACAAAAAAAAATTATGAATTGGATTTTCAAAATATTCATATCAATAACTATTACCTTATTAAAAATAATGAGGAAACACGACAACAAAATAGTGAAAATGAATAAAAGAAGACAACAAACCTGTAATTTTTCAAAAAAATTATTTCAACCTATAATCTTTTCGATAGTCCTGCTTCCTTAACTGTTAATTGAAATTTTATTTTAACTGGTAGGTCGAATATTTAATACTAGTGTTTTAATATGAATTATTTAGTGTTAGGGATGATAATAAAGTGGAGCCGAGCAGAGGCAAAGTGGTTTAAGCCTTAACCCGAAAAATATTAACCTCCCCGCTTTTTTGTGTGTTTTAGATCCACCCGCCCCTCTCCGTATCAATCCCCACTCAACCCGGCCAACCCGCAACAGTTTATTTTTAAACAAAAAGTTAAATCAAATTTAATAATGCTAAATTATTTTTACAGCTTTCAAAAGCCAGAAAATTTAGATAGATTATGTAATTAAGGATAATATCTTTTTATTTTAAGCAGTATTATATGTTCTTAATCATATTTCACATCTTTCCAAAAGCCAACAGATTTAAATGGTTATCAGTTTTTTTTGCAGCAGTGAAGCAGTGATGCATTAATTTTGAAAAATTGAGTTTGTAAACTTAATTTTTAGTTTTCGCGAAAAAAAATTCAAATAACATTTTAAAAAATATATATGAATAGTTTTTTGGTGTACAAACATGAAATTCAGCAAATAAAAACATAAGTTAATGCAAATTCACGTTTTTAATTTCACTCAAAAATAAAATTATGAACTCATTTTAAATTAAACTTTTGTTTTGCTTAAACCCACTACCTCCCCGTCCCTTCCCCACCCCGTCCTGCTCTGCATAGCCTTAAATCCGTAATCACTATGCATAGCTAACAAACCACCCCGCTTCATTGTCATCCCTATTTAGTGTGACGTGCATGTTTGTATGGAGTAAAAAATTAATTATTTTGTGAAGTTAGATTTTTTTTTGGTAAAATGAATAAAAAGATGGTAAAAATCAGTTAAATTAAATAATATATGATAAAGGGCAACTTAGTTAAATAATAAATTTTTATATTAATAATAATTAGGTTAAGAAAATAAATATGAGAAAAATAAAATAAGAGAGATAAGTAAAATATTATAAACTACTTGGAAGGTGGTTTATGTAATTTTTTATTTTTTTGGTTATATTGATTTTCTAAAAAATTAGTTTAACTTGAGTGACTTTATAAAATGAAATTCAAAAGTTGAGTGACTTTATTGATACAAAACTAAGTTGAGTAACTTTTTCAAATAATTTACTTTAAACCAAAAAGTTCTCTCTGTTTTTCTCTTTCATAAACATACTTGAACATAAACTCAGTATAAATTAGTGGAAGAACTTTCAAAAGGAACCACAGATGAGATGAGAGAATTTTTTATTGGATCACTCTTAACCGCTCGAGATGTAGGGACCGTAAGGACGGAAAGTTCTCTGTCAACCAGAGTATACTCTTGAACCCACAAACTACGTAGCCATAAAATCACGATCAGATGATTATTGGGAATCATACCTTTCATTTGAAGAAGGTGGTGGCTTGGGCATGGGTGTTTTCAACTTAGCTGATGGCACCATCCTCCCGTTCCCACACTACACTACAAGGGTGTCTCTTTAAGTCCTGTTTGTCCTCCAACTTGGGTCACGCCAACTCTATATTGATTCTTTTCATTTAATTTTCTACTAGTATTATTTGTTATTGTTGTTTTCCTTTCAATCTTACATAATTAGAATTATGTTGCGAATTGCTTTTAAATTTATATATTTGGAGAATTAATGTTTCACAATCGTTTTTCTGCACTATATCCCTTTTCTCTCTGAGCTCTGTCTACTTGAATTTACAGAAAGTATTGATTTAGATTCGATCTCTAAGAGTGTTTTACTCCACCACCTTTTCCGTGTTGATTTAGATTTGATCTGTCGTGATTTGAGTTCTCTAATATCAGAATTGGAAAATCTGGAAAGGTGAGTCCAACTGACCTGACTGATAACAAGAACAATTGTCCAAACATTATATATGTTTCAGATAGTGTAGGCAAGCTCATCTACAAAGTCTACTTTAAGGTGCAACGTCTTCTTCTTGAGTTGGATTGTACAACCATCAGTTTATTGGGACTTAACGCTGTAAGTTCGCATAACAGAAAGGAATATAAAACAATATCATTATACATAAGTGTTTTCCCAAAATGCAGGAGGTGGAATCAGTTTTAACCTGGCATGCACTTCAAAGGAGCCGTAGTGATGCAGGAGTATTTTCACAAATATCATGATTCCCGTAGTTGGTATACCTGCAGAAACAAGAATGTCACTAGTTGTAGTTTTCATATCAGTACTTTCACAAAGACTTACTGTTTTCCCTTTCTAGATGTAGTTTTCATATCCCCACATTTGTGTGCCATAAGAATCTCATATCCATTTGGATCCCCAGATATATAGTATGTCTTGAACTTATCATAGCTAGACTCCCAGAATTTCTGAGGGAAGCTAAGAGTGCAAGTAGCGACAGACTGTGTTGGCCATAACCCAGTATTAAGGAGCTGCACTGTGAGACTATCTGCAATCTCAGCAACATGAAACCCATAATTGTGTCTTGTGAGGTAATCATGCCTGGTTTTGAGGTGAGTTCCTCAGTTTGTCATCCACAAACAAAGAAATGAACTCACTCAAATGGGGAAATCATGCCATTATGGAATATTTTGTCATTATAAGACATACTAGATATAAACACGATCAATTTGTATAAATGAATTTATAGAAAACTGAACAATTTGTATAAAATTGAAAGTTTCTAGCGAATGATACAAATCAAAAGCTCCATAGCAAACATAAAATTTGCTATGGAGCGCAATTATGCAAAGTATAGCTATAACATATAAATATAATTTTTATGTTTGCTATATGTGAAAGTTGTTCTAGAAAAAACTTTAATACATAACTTGTGTGATACATAACCAACTAATACTAAAAAATTAAATCTCTTGATTAATTTTAATTTTTAAAATAATAAAATTCATTAATTGTACAATCAAAACATGTGTATCTTAATCATGTAATTTTTTTGATTAATTTCAGCTTATTACTCTTTTAAAATAATAAATTCACTAATTTAATATATCTACACTTAGAAACATATGTGCATAGCTGCACATATATACATTTATATCATTATATGTATCATGAGCACTTATATCTTAGATACATAAAAGATTTTGATCAGATGGACACAAACATATTTATACGTTCCATGAACACATACTAACATCTTATATATAGGGGGGGGAGAGAAATTGAACTATGAAACATGCGCAGACAGCTACATTGGTGTGTATAAAAAAAGATGTATGGAGTCTTTGGGATGGTTTATTAAGAGGAGGGTGAAATCAATCCCTTTTCAGGTGTTGAGATCGAATTGCCCCATCAAAATACAACTAACACGGAACTGGTAGAAAATGGATCTTTATTCATAAGGCTGTACGTTTTATCAGCTAGGCCTTCTGATTACGTTCTCATGGTCATAGAAGGGAATATCAATTTCGTCGAGGCCAGGAGACTTGAGATGGACCAGAATTGAATCATCTCCCTCTGTACATCACAGATGATTACTGTAGATTGGACATGGGTGTTTTCAACTTAGGAGATGGCACCATCCAACCTCACTATGACCGTGTTTCTCTTAGTCCACCAACACTTTATTGATTTAGATTCTTCATTTTATTATTCCTCTTCTAATTCATTATCATAGTTTAAACATGATTGCTTTGTTTTAAGATTATGCATCAGTAGAATCTTCATGAAACATTGTCCCTAATATCGCAGACCCTTACCAGAAGTGTAAAAAGGAAAGACATCTACTACTGTTCATGTCCATTTAATGTTGCTTGAAGCTGATGCTATTTCGTAATGTTCAATATAGTATGTCAAATGGGCGGATTTGAGAATGCCAAGATTGAATGATCCAGGAAGTATCCAAGGTGATTATCAATCATGAAATTTCAAGTTCAATTTTTTTTCTCATCTATTCAAGTAGAGGCCCAAACACCACAGATATTCAAAAAGATTGAAAATAAATGGTGTCCACGTTGGTATACCATTTAAGTTCAATCAATGGAATATGATAGTAATAGAAAATGTACCACATGAAGAAGATATCCTGACCCAACCAGGATTCTGGATAACAACATCACATGAGTAGACAGACATTAATGGTCCTACCACTCGCTTATTGTCAGTACAAACAATGAATGAGGAACAAGCCCAATCCACATTCATTAACCAACACAAAACATTGATGGATTCTGCTTTTTAATGGAAAACCACAACATTGTTACACATTCAATAAGTAATGGACACCACTATACTCTGTCCATTGATATTTTACTCAACTAGCAACAAGGAAGAAGCAGAAAGTCCATTGATAATTTTTATCTCCAACTACAATACAAATAAACAAGACACTAACATAATATTTGTAAAGGCAGGCATAAAACAGGTACAGTAAGCCACATATTTCTGGTCTGTACAAAACAAAAGGACCATACATATTACTACTCCACTAATAATACAACTCCCATTTGCCTTTTCTATGCTTTAGCTACTACTGTTATTTTAATTTAATAATAGAGATTCTGGTATGTCACGCCACACTGATGATGCTCTCTCCATTATTAAAACTAGACATCACTTGGAATCCTGAGTGCCTAGTAGAAGATGATGATGGTGATGACAAGGACAATGTCAACGATAACGAAGATGTCTCCATTGCTGAGCTTTGATTCAAGTTAAAGTCTGCTATTCTTGATGAATTAGAGATTGGAACAACAACAGGAGCCGGCCGGAGGAATATCGATGATGATCCATTATAATAACTTTCACTTCCTTGCCTAAGGATTGGCTTCTCAATTTGTGCTGGCCCAAAATTTACTGGCATAGATGTCACCTGAAATGCATTGATTTTGGATGATTCTACACGAGGCAATGATGGAATGGAGTGTTGTTGCCGGTTTTGAGTTTCTTCTGTCGGTAGTACAGATACCTGTTTGTCATTTAGAAGAAAATTTTAGTAACTAAAAGGCGAGCAGATTAATCAAGATGAAATTTAGGATTGAGTGAAATACCGAGTCGGTAGTAATATCGAAGAGGCTAGAACGGCGGCGCCGGCGATTGAGGTTAGTTCGCCGGAGGAAGTATTTCTGAGCATGACTTGCAACCTGTGTCGGTGTGCGAGTTTTGACGAAGTTTCTAGAGATTCCTCTCCAGTCTCCTTTTCCCACTTTCTGCAATCCCAAAAGGAATAGCTTGTGCTCTTCCTCCGTCCATGGAACTCCTAAAATTCAGAACGCAAAAATCATTACTAATTGAAATCCAGAGACTAAAGAAAACAAAATGAGATGATAGATGATCGATTAACACGTTGACTTGTAAAACAATGAAAAGACAGTAGAAATTCGAATACAATTAACAAGCAGAGATGACCGGAAAACAAGAGCAAACTTTCAATGATTCAGGGCAAAGACAAAAAAAAAAAAAAAAAAACAGAGATCTAACCTCGCTTACGCTCACGGCCACTGCCGGAGTGGTGAGGAGCAGCGTCGTCGGCAGAGGCATAACCCTCGTCGGCGGCAACTTTAGAAGAGTCATTGTTATTTCCGCTGTTGCTATTATTATTATCATTAGAATTAGGCTGCTCATACTGAGACAGATTATTCAAACTCACGCTCTTCCTAATAGGGTCTACCTTCATCCTCACGCCAAACAGCATGATCTCTCCTCCTCCTACGTCGCCGCCGACAGATACGGCGGCCGGCGCTGACTCGCCGGCGCACGTGAAAGAGTTGTGGCCGTCGTTTCCCGACTGTGAACAGCAACTCGACAACATCATCATTCTCGCAGAATCAGGAATTTATTCGAGCTAAATATAGAGATAATATATGTATATATATAGAAGACAAGATGGCTTAGGGAGGGGAGCTAAGAGAGGCGTGTGGTGAATGGAGATCAGAAAATATATAGAGAGTGGGAGACAGGTGTGATGGGTAAATAAAGGAAAATGCATGTGCTTAACTGTAACTTTATCATCTCAGATAACAACGTGGACACCATATGACGGACGGTTTATCCGATTCTTCTATTGTTTTTGTACGGTTCGGTTCTATGTTTGTATTTATCTCGAAATTAAATTAATTTATATTTATGCTATAGCAAGTTTATTCATAATAATACATCTAATAAAGATTTTTCATACACTAAAACATGATCGACTTATTCAAAATTTCAAAGATATTTTTATATTTAAAATTTAAAATTAAAATGGCTGATAAAAAATAGTCTCATCTCATCTTTTTATATTTTTTTGTCTGTTTTTATTGCAAATCTCACGTATCTCAGGTTTCGAGCGAGGGCGGCTCAACCTTAGAGCCACTAAAGCGGTGACTTTAGCCCCCCAAAAAAACAAAACCTTCCAAATTCAGTTAGCTCAAATACGAAAACATAACAAAGATGCACAAAAAAAACAAATTCGACCAGGAGGCAAGATTAAGCGAAGAACCAAAAGCACTGAGCATACAAAAGGAGGAGGAGATTACATACATACATACATATAAAAATACATTATTAATTGTGAGAAGTACGTATTAACAAAAAAAATACCCTTTACACCTTGTTTGGATGTTGCTATCGTTGTATTGTATTGTTAGAACTTGTTTGGCATTGCTGTTGTAAGGTCAAAATCACTTATTTTGAAGAAAAAAAATATTTATTTTATACAAAAAAAAAATGTTTGACTAATCACTAAAATGCTTTTAAATAGAAGCGGAAACAATTTTTCTCTTGTTGGGAGAAAACTAAAAGTTCTGATATATTAGAAAAAAAAGAAGACGTAGAAGCAGAAGGAGAAAATTATTTATTTCAAGACAAAAGTATCCCTGTCATACATACATATTTATCAATATATTCCTTATATTTATATATTACTATAATGAGTTATGCAGTAATTTAATTTGTGAAATGGTTTTTATATTTATTTTACTTGATATTTTTAATTATATAATCATCACGTTAATGTTTAATCAATATTTAATTAATCTTTTTAATCGTCTATGTATAATATTGATTGAAAATTTGAATATGTATATTTTAGTTTAATAAAATAAAAATTTAATTATAAATTTTATAATATATATTTTAAATAATTTTTAATATTAGAAGTGCATTAAAAGTATTACATAATATTATATAAGGAAAAAAAATGATACTTTAATTGGAGTATCCAATGAAGTGAAGTCTAAACACTTTTATAACAATTATGATAGTTTATTTAACAATTGATTGTATTGAAAACTATTGAAAAAAATTTCAAAAACAAGAAATTTAAACATTTGTGTTGTTATATAACATAAAATAATTTATATATGTTTATTCTTTTTTTACAAAATATTACAAAAAATGTTATACTATAAATTGAATTTTTTTTTTATTAAATTATAATCAATTACAATATTTTTTTAAAATTTTACGAGAGTAAAATATATATATAAAAAATTAAATAAATGTACTCTCTTTTATAAATTTTGGTTTTATGTCATCCATTCTATTGAGCTGCCTATAAATATAAGACAGTTTGTTGATTAATAGTTGTGGATAAAGTGCGTTCAATTTTATACTCTTGCAAGAAAGTTTTTCGGAAATAGAAAAAAATTCTTAGTCTTCTGTGCTAATTTTGGCTTTAGGCCACCCATTCTATTGAGCCGCCTCTGATTATGGGTTCAACTATATGGATTCGAGTTTTATGACTCATCCTTTTCGATATATTTTTGTTCCACGTTGTTTTAAATTTTGGAAACCTACCACTTTGTACCCTCGACATTTCGTGAATTTCAAACTTGATTGTTTTGAAATATGATTTAGTCTTTAATTTATAAAAATATTTTTTTGACCCCTTTTAAGTGAAAAATGTTTCTTATTTAGAATTATATTACTCTCAAATACATTATACACAGTAACCATAAGAATTTAACATAATACATATATAATTATATTATGTAAAAGTGTAACGACCTGATCCCGTTGTTATAGAAAAGTCAATTGGGGAAGAATTGGGGCCAGAAAACTTTTGAGTAGTAACTTTGGATTTCCTAGCCTAATCCAGATTTGGACGAAATCGAAGTCAGTGAGGTCTAGGGAAATCCGGTAACAAATGAGAGATTTAATTATGATTTTGATCACATGACTAGATAGCTAAGACATTAAGGAATCCGTGCGACTTTACGAAATTGAATTCGGGTGAGTAGAACTCCCGAAACTGATCTTGGCATGAATGAGTAGTTTCTAAGTGTCGTTGGTTGAAGGCGTGTTTGTGAAATGGGGGTATTGGAATTCTTAATATTGCTCATTGTTTCCGTGCAAGCCGCTATTGCGGGATTTCTGCCCTAGGGCGGGGACGCTGTAGTAGAGGGGAGACTGTAGTGGTGGGACAGACGCGACTTAAAGTCGGAAATAAACCCCAAACATGTTTTATTATGCAATTTTTGAACTTTAGAGCTAAGGAACAACCCCAGAGGTTTTCTTGACAGTTTTCCACCATTCTTGAGGCTAAAGGTAAGGTTTTCACTCCCCGAATCTATTTTTCGATCCGTAGAACTTGGTTTCTTGGGTGATTATTGTTAGGGAAGGGTTTTGGAACTGTTTGAATGGTAGGAAAAAACATAATCTGGGTATGGGGATCAAAAGTTTGGTCTAGGGTTGATAATGTTGATTATAATCCTGGTAATTAGGCCTCGTCTATTGATCCTTGCATTAATTGTATGTTTTTAGACCACGAACAAGCGAGAAGAATCCAGAAAGGGAAGATTCAAGTGCCTTCGGGGATTCAAGCTTGGTTTCGAGGTAGGTGATAGTTGTGATTTCATGTTGGTGTGATATATGTTTGTAATTGCTCATTATAATGCATGTATGTATGCGAATGATTGCATTATTGATCACCCTAATCATAAATGAGGATAATTGAATAATTGTATGCCATGAATCACCTCTTGTTGTATGATTGTGAGAATATACGTTGTGATTGATATTGTGGTTTGTTTAATGGATCGGGTGTTACGTTCCGACACACTAACTTGGATTGATTACCACGTTTCGACATAAATATGAAATCGGTTGCCACATTCCGGCATAAATATAGGATCGATTGCCACGTTCCGACATAAATATTGGATCGGGTACCACGAACCAGTACACTAACAATTTGGGTTTGGGTTCCATGAGAGGACCATTGAATTGTATTGTGTATCTACTTGTGTTGATTACGTTTATATCTAACCGTGATTGAGGTTGAAAGACTGTTTGTTGCTCTAAAATGGTAACCAATGGGTACTATTGAGAACGTGGAATTCTACATTGATCCTGAAAAGACTAATAATGTATATGTTTGGTATATGCCTGTTTTATAATGTTGTGGTTACTTGCATGTGTTTTACTTATTGGGATAGCCGTGCGATCCTACCAGTACACTATGGTTGTGTACTAATACTGCACTTGCTTGTTCTTTGTTGAGTACATGGCATCTTCAGGCGGCTATTGATAAACCTCAGCTAGGTGACTATTAACGTGATCAGATTCAAGGGCTGTCATGGATCTTTCTTGTTTAAGTCCACTCTTTTCAGACTCAGACTAATTGTTTAGTTTCGGGGTTATATCCCTTATTCTTAGACTTGTCGTTAGTAGAGTTTCGGTACATTGACTTTCAAATTCTAGGGGTTGTTCTTCCGCATTAGTTTGGCTAGTTTGTTTAAACCTTTGGAGTTTATGGGAACTTCGTATTTCTTTTGGTCATTTAAACTTGTTTCCGTATCTTTAAATGCATAGTTTTTGGTTAAGTTGTTTAGTCTGGGTTGTAGTAATGGTTCTCCCACCGGAGGGTTAGTGTGGGTGCCAATCACGACGGTCTGGGTCGTGACAAAAAGTTAATAATTCAATAACTTTTTAAATTTCATAAACAAAGATATAAAATTGTACATTCTAGTTAATGGAAGATTAAATATATTAAATTAAAAATTTCAAAGGCCAAAAATTAGAATTTATTGATAATTGAGGAATGAATGAGGCAAATTTCCCTTTATTTTTTAAATACGGATAGTATTACTAGAATTTGTGAAATTGGACAGTTTCTCTTCGATTGAAATATGTTAAATTATTTTCACATTTTTGCTTTTAACTTTTTTGTAATACTTTTTGGAGAGCCAATACATAACTATAATATTGGCCAGAATTTGGCTAGAAGATTAAAAAAACTATGATATTTTTTTAATTTTAAAATAAACTAATCTTTTTTTCCATTTTTTAATTAAAAGATATTAAAGTTAAAAGGATAAAAATGTTTTAAAAGGTAAATAACATAAATAAAAAATCATTCGCCAAATTCTGGCCAAATTTTTGGCCAAAAAGATTTTTCCATTCTTAAATATGTTTGTTATTACTATTGGTGTAATTTCTAGATACTTTAGGTTTATTTTTAAAAAAAAATAAAAAATGAAGATTTTGATAACTAAATGCATCATTATCATTATCAGTGCGATGACCATTAAACATCAGGAAGGAACTGGTTTGACTATTACCAAGCAAGGTAAAGTGTCCCTTTTTTCTAGGCTTTTTAGTTGAAATATCTATTATCTTTTCTTACGTTATGTTAAAACTAGGTAATGTTGTCCGTGCTATGCACGGGTACGGGCTCAATAATATAAATGGTATGTTTTGGGGCTAATAACGGAGATTTTGAAGCGATTGTTTGCGTGGATAAAGGAATAAGTTTTTTTATCACAAACTTGTACTTTATTTGATGCTATTCAAGGCACAATAAGACTATCCACATACAACATTTTTGAAATATTTTATGTTGTCAATTATCATGATTTATAGTATTTTTACGATAGATTCACTTAAAGAATGAGTGGAATTTTTGGTATTTTTTTTCAAAACATATTTTATGTTGTCA